CCCTATTGCATATTACAGTACTTATATGTTCGTACAGTATACTAAATAAAATAATTAATTTCCATCTTATCTTCCAGCGATATAGCCTTACGCTCAGCATTAGCACTTGCACTGAGACTTTTCTTTGGAGTCATGGGCAATAATGTATTCTAAATCACAATTGAAATGTAATTGAAAGAACGTCAATGACAGAGCACAGATGTAAACAAGTCTGAATTCAAAATCAGTGTTGGAGCAGAAAACAACGCATGAATGTCACCTGTCAGTAGGAATTTGAAATAAGAACATCAACTGAACATACTTTATTAATCTAACTTTTTTGTTTTTGATTATTTTATGATATATATATATATATATATATATAAATACATAATATTATTTTATATGTGTTTATTGTTACTTTAGTGTTTCGATGTATTTAATATTTTTAACAGCTCATGTGAACTTGAGTAAAACAACCTAAGGCGAGTTTTATTTTTCCATATAAAATATATATATATATATATATATATATATATATATATATATATATATTTTTTTTTTTTTTTTAAGAAAAACCGATGTATCTTCAAAAATGACTCAAACGACTCAAGCCAAGGTATCACTGTATATGAATATAATTTTAGTATAATTGAATCAAGGTTAATTCCACATAATATATAATATATTTATTGACTATAATTTTTATAAGAAATGGGTATGAGAGGAAAGTGTTTATTCAATATTGGCACCAGATTTTGCTACCAGCTTCTCGAGCCTCCCAGGAATCGAGTCAATTGATTTCACCAGGAACTCTTGTGATATGGAAGACATAACTTCTTGTGTTCGCCCTTGAAATTCTTTCAAAGTCTTGGTTTGGTGTAGTAGACTTGTTATTTTAACCAACCCCCACAAAAAATAAGTCACCGGGTGTTAAGTCAGAACTCCTGGGTGGTCACTCATATATAAAATAGGGAGTTACTTTTCAATGACTGTGTGAGTGAGTGTACATACATACATACATATATATATACATATATATATATATATATATATATATATATATATATATATATATATATATATATATATGCACCAATACTACATTTTGATTATAGTTAGAAGTGCTGAGCTGTACATAAATATTCCATTATTTTTTACAGTTACTTTGCTAGTAAGGTAACATTAACAAACATTTTAATTTTTGTAACTAATACTGTTTTCATTTTTAATACTAATATTGTTTTAGTACAAGATAATGTAGCCATTTATCGTTGGTAAAAACTCCCACATAAAGATGACCTTGTTGATCAGTTTAAGATTCTTTTGGTAGTCATTACATACTAGTGTTGTAGGCGTGTTGCTATTGGATCTTAAGGTTGCAAAAGTGAACAGAGAAGATAAACAGTGGTCTTATTATAGCGACAACTGACTGCAAGTCAGACAGGAAATGAAATGTAGATTTCAATAAGAATATTCAGCTCTCCAATTTACTGTTGGAATGTGAGGTGGAGTTTGAAATTGGGCTTAATTCTTACCAGGAACAATAGTTCCAATTGCCAAAAGGCTGGATCAATTCTGGACGTTATCCAATAATCCATTCCAACATGGAGTCTGCACACTGCCAACTACTTTCTTGGCATTATTGTACTTTTTCTCATTTCACAGACAAGCAGATATTGTGAAAGCTGAAAACTATGTTCAGTCAAATTTTGGACAATGAGCTAATAATCAAGAGGGTGATGGTTCCATCCCAAGTCTTGTTGAAGGTTCTACCTAAAAAAAAATGATTTGGTATAAGGAGAAAATTTTTAAAATTGTTAGGTAACTGAAAAATGGACAAAGCCATGTTGAAATTGAGATCTATAATTACCAAAGACTGATTAAAAAAATGTTATCCTCCAGAAATACTCTGGCAATTTTTTTTTTTGAGAAATGTAATCTTTGTTATTGCTATATGAGTTGCTACTTCACTTATATTCAAAATTTGTGTTATTTGGAAAATGAGTGATTTGTGGTGAACTGTACTTGCTTTAATTATAGTGATAGTTTTCTTTGAAAAGGATTATGGCTGCAGATTAGCTTTGTTGCTTTTAGTCTCTAGAACCTGTTATTAAGACTTAAAAATCACATGGATTGTCATTGTATCGTTGAAGCTGTGTTGAGCTTGGTTAAAACTTGGAGGGGGGACCTCCTACTACTTGAAATATTTTTCAGCTTTATATAACCCACAGGGTCGATAATCTGTAAAAAAAAAAAAAAAATCAAGATTTAAGTATTAAGTCAATTTTAATTTTATATGTTGAATATTTTTCCTCCCTGTTACATGATCATCAAATCTTTATAGCTACTACTGACTACTGACCTTAGATTTTTAGGAACTGTCATTTGAATCTTTCGATTGTTGGGTGTTTCTTCTAGCTGGACGTCAGCTGGAAGAAACATCCAACAAAGAAACGCCTGTTATGGACACCTTCCTCCTATCTCAGTTTCGCTAAGAGAGAGAAAGCTTTGGCTAGCTGGTTACTCCTGGAGAAGTCAGAACTTGTAAGTGACACCCTCTTATGGAACCCATTGTGTAGCAAAAGATTGGTTGAAAGACCTCATCACACCTACATTGACCAACTTGTAGATGACTCTGGAGGACCTGCTGTCAGCGATGTCTGACAGAGATGCTTGGAAGGAACCAGTTAGGAGACTCCAAGAAGAATTCTCGATGATGATGACTGACCTCTGACTTGCTTTGTTTAGCTTCTGCTTTCATTATCTTGATATGCAAATAAAGCATAGCATTATGAATTAATACTTATGTTATGAATTAATATGTAATGATTTCATGATCATGAGAAATAAAAAAACAACAATCTAATTCTCATGATTCCATAGAAAAAAGGAAATTGCCCTACTGTTGAGAAATTTAGAGACTTTTTCTTTTTCATTGGTCCCTTATTAGGAGTAGTACACATGGAATAAACCATCTTCAGGAATGAAGACCATAGATAAGCCTTATGCAAATATCATTTTCTCATGTTTAATAATAAGACTTTTCACTTGCAAATAATGTATTCATTCACCAAGACAGACACCAAAATCAGAAACATTTACTGACAACCACATTACAAAAAATTTCATACATCTACTGAACTAGTACAACCAAATCCTTCTGAGAATAAATGCTTATTATATATATATATATATATATATTTTTTTTTTTTTTTTTTTTTGAATAATAAAAAATATTAAAAAATTAAAATCTTTAGACACACTAGGTTGTATATTAATATTCCTTTGTTTTTATTATTATTTCATTTAGATTCCTCGACTAGTTTCGGCCAACATGGCCATCATCAGGAGAAAAAATTCTGCTTGCTAGTAGCAGTGAACTACAGAAATGAATGTGTTGATGGAGAAAATGAACTTTTGTCTGTAGTTTTCATTTGTTTTTTTTTTTTTTTTTAACATGAATTTTGGTCAGTCTTTGTGTTGGTCAAACAGTCTCTTTTAAGTTGTTATTTGAGATAAGAGCTGGATGGATTCATGCTGCTCTGAATTCCCTTGGTCATTTTGACAGTTTTATTGGTTCCTGGAAAGATGTGTCTCTGTTAAGTGTGTGTGTTATTTAGTTCTTAGGGAGGGAGTGAGTGAGTATGTGTGTAAGCATGTATATATATTACTATGGGTGTGTGTTATCATTTGGCTTATTAGGAAGTGAATCTCAGTAGGCGATGGAGTAGCGCTTAGTCTTTTTCTTTTTTTTTCCCAAAAAATTCTAGATGATGGAGTTACGTTGCCTCTGGTGACTGTGTAGTCTCACTCTGGAGTGGCAGTCTCTCAGGCACTTGGCGCAGATGAAACTGGATGACACGGGCTGTCCTTGCTTTTCTCCTGGCTCTCTTTGCTGATCTTCCCTCACTGATTCTGCAATCGTGACACCATCACTGACTCTAGCTCTCCAAACCTGATCGTCAGCCACGGCTTCCCAGGTGTTGGGGTCGATGTCGGCCAGCTTAATGTCTCATTTGCAGACATCCTTGAAGCGAAGCTGAGGTCTTCCAGTTGGTTGGGACCCCTCACACAGCTCTCCAATGACTCTTGGGATGTGGCTGGCACCCATGCGGTGTATATACCCCAGCCATCTGAGACGTTTTTGGTAGAGCAGCGTGAACAGGCTGGGGATGCCGGCATGTTGGAGGACCTCTGTGTTAGTGACCCAGTCTTGCTACTTAATGTGCAGGAGATGTCTGAGGCAGTGGAGGTGAAAAGTGTTTAACCTCTTCTGACTGGCATAACTTTTCCAGGACTTGCTGCTGTACAGAAGGGTGCTGAGAACGCATGCCCGGTAGACTTGTAGTTTAGTGTTCTTCGTCAGCTGGCTGTTGTTCCAGGCATGCTTGTTTAGCTTGACCATGACCTGTGGCAGCTTTCCCTATCCTGGAGCTGATCTCAGTGTCCAGGAAGAGGGAGCTGGAGGTGATCGACCTGAGGTAGGTGAAGGAGTCCACCACCTCCAGGTGCGTGCTGTTGATGGCAACGACCGAGGAAGAGGCAGTGTCTTATGCCAGGATGTTGGTCTTTTTGAGGCTGATGGTCAAGCCGAACTCCTTGCAGGCATGGGCCGTAGCTGACTAATTCTTGAGGGAGTGAGTGAATATGATGTATATAAGTGTGTATATTCATGTGGGTGTGTGTATAAGTGTGAGGCTTCAACACCTCCGTAAGCATGTCTGTCTTGAGTGCATAAGAAATGTGGGTAGGTTTTGATTTGTAGGGTTATATATTAATTCTATCTATCTATCTATCTATCTATCTATATATATGTGTGTGTCTTTGTTATTATGATGTCCATATGCTATACTTTACTAACCAAAAACAGGAGTCAATTAAGTATTTGTTATGATATACCTTGTTTATGTTAATAAAACATATAATTATGAATTAATACTTAATTCTGTTAATTAAACATAGCATTATTAATGACTTATTTTTTTTTCTTTTTCCGATTCCAGTTTCTGATTGCCAAGATGGATAGCCATAACTTCAGTGCCATCCTTCAAACACCATTTGAGATCGTTTCTCTTGATCCTTGGACTCGACTGGGCATTGTTGCTGGATGTGCCCTTTTCTTTGTCATATTGATCCTAATTGTGGTCTGTTCATTGTCTCCATTCTGTCCATTGTTTCACTGCTGCCCATTTAATCAGAAATTCATTAAAAAAGGTAAGTTATTTGCTTTTTACATTCAGTTTAGCATTTTTGCCACTCTGTCAATGTCCTGCATCTAGTGATATCTATCTATCTATGTATCTATATATAAAATTCTGCAATTTCTGTTAGTCTGTCCATCACACCTTCTAAAATAGCCATACATTGACTGATCAAAACCAAATTTTGGGGAGAAGTGCAAACAGGTAAGTTGGGTACAAAGTACAGTTGGTTTTACAAGCGTACATGGCTTAGTACAATAAATTTATATTAATTTTTTTGGAAAAATTAAAAGTTTTATTATTTATCATACAAAATACTCCCACTATTTTAAAAACAATTTAATGATTAAAATAACAAATACTTATTTAATAAAAATTCAATATTGTTTTTTGCATATCTATTCTTTGTTTTTATATATACAAGAGTCAAGTTTCCAGTTTGCACTGTGTTCGCGAGAAGTATAAACAAATCACAAGGCCAAAAGCTTCAAAATGTTGGAATTTGGCTCCAGAAAGAAATATTTATGTATGGCCAGTTAATTGTTGCATGCTCAAGAGTAAGAAATCTTAAGAATTTATTCTTTGCTGTTAAAAAGGAAAAAAAGAAATTTTCTTAAAAAATATTGTCTACAATAATGTCCTATAAATTAAAGAAATTATTAAACTGCGACATAGGGATTTTGTGAAAGTATTTTTTCAAATAAACCATCTTATTCAAATTTCATCAATTGGTTTATAGAATTGAATGTAGAGTTTGTAAACCTTGACAAAAAATGTTGCAAAAAGTTCTAGTTAAAACAAAATTTGTGATAGTCTTAAGTTGCTGAATTTTTTAGATGAAGCACTGTTATTAAACTTTGCCTAGTTTTTCTCTCTCTTTTGTTGCAATATTTTTATCCTTTTACATTAATACATTCTGTTAATTAACCGTTATATAGACTTTGATGAAATTTGAATTTTATTTGCTAATGAGCAACCATAGCTTAATCAAAGAATCAGCCTATTCTAGACTCCAAAGCAAGTCATGTTTTTAAATAGTCACAACAGATCAAGACTTTCCTATGAATATCATACATCATATTTAGAGTTTGATCCTCACTGGGTGCCTAATACTTTTGGCCATGTGCCACATCTAAGTTACATTTAGGAAATCATTAAGGGGCATAATGGTTTGCAAGCTTGTCTCACTTGATCAGTTACAGCTGAATAGTGAGTTCAATTCTCGCTTTTGCTTAGAAAATCGCCAGACATGTTCAGAAATAAACTAAACAATCAGCAGCATATGACCCTTTCTCAGATCAGTGGTTACATGGCTCTGAAGGATTCAAGCCTGTAGATCTTCATAAAGACCGTGTAGACTGGCATTACCGAATCGCAAGCAAAGAACTGTACCAGATAATAGAAACCATATCACTTTCAAGAACAGTAGCAACTGGAATGGATAGTATGTGTAACTCGAAGAGAAAATAATGACATTATCAAGATGTTAATGTTCTAGACTACTTCAAATAAAAGGTTAGGAAGGAACACCTCCACCCCCGCCATAAATACTAGAAAGAACAATAATAGTAATTCGAGAAAACTATTTTCTTGAAAATTTGTTTTAAGAGAAAGATTGTGTAAATTTCAACCAAAAGTAGTACTGACTGTTCAATCAATGAATCCTGAATGTTTCCTTATAAGGTAACAGCTAATATTACCATGCTAGACTCGAATCTTGCTGGAGGATATGTCCTTATTTCTGACCTGTTTTCATGAGGAAATCAGGAAATTTTGTCCTCTTTCTTGTTTTTATCACAATGTTTCAGCTGGCCTTCATATATCAAGTAACCTGCAGGGAACTCTGAGGTAAAGCCATTATTTAATTTACAGGGGGTAAACAGTTTGTAGTAGTATTAGGTAGTAATAATATGAAAATATGCACCTTCCTCTTTACCAAGTGAGTGACAAAGAAAACTCTCTCTCCCTCTCTTCTATATATTTCCTTTCCTTTCCTTCCTTCTGCTGTTCCTATCCTTGGTAACAGACATGAACCCAGACTTAGTTTATGTGGGTCAGTGAACATCATAAAAAAAATCAACAAATAACATGTCACGCCAAAAATCAAATGGGAAACATGGATGTATCAGCCCCAATAAAAAGAAAACTATGTATGAGACTAGAGATGCTGCAATGGAGAGAAACTTGATTCGAGATAGCAGTTCAAGATGCAAGGGTTGGTGATTCATTGGCTGTGAGTTTGACTTGATGTACAACTCCAGAAGAGAAAGAAGAAGAAAGGATGAATGCAGTGAATTAATTTCCATCAACCAGAAGGAACACAACAACTCTGTATGAACTCTCAAATCACAAAAAAGAACTATGATGATAGTCAACCATTTTAAACACTAATAATAATAAATGGTACTATAGAGAGTCAATTTTGGCCTTTACATCTCTATATATATCATAAGTTCTTGTTCCACTACTTATGTCTAGCGATATCTTGTCTATTTCTTTATTTTTAGTACTGCTCACTTATTTTCACAAAGTACATATAGCCCAACCCTGGCATTGAAATCACAATTGCTATGTCACCAAATTCATAAATCCACTAGGCTATTGTACCTAATCTGCCTGCTGATGAGTGCTGCTGTATTTGTCATACTTGACTGCATTCACCGAAGCTTTTCTCTTTTTGTTAGAGCTGCTGCTGTTGAAGATTTGCTGTTATTTGCTTTTCTTTCTTTATTAACAGCTCCCATGTTGTATTTATTTCTATGTTTGGTCTACTAAGGTGGGCCTCATATCCTAGCATATGTGCTTCTTTTTTCAGACATCATAACTCTTCAGTGTTCTTCTGTGTCCAGTATTTTCACTTATTCCACAAGAGCTGATGATTAATCTTTTCCTTCCATACAAGATCAGCCATGCCTGATTTCATTGTCCCATCACTATGGCTTTTTAATGTTCCTCCAGCCTTTCTGTTAGTGGGCAACTAGTTTCACCTTTATATTATTTGTCACTCTGGATTTAATAATTAGTAAATTTCATACATTCTTTGCTTTAAATAACTTGTGCTAAATTAAGATGCTGAAACTATTTGATCCATTAGTGCATGGTATCCAATTTTTTAGAGAGAGGGTTACTTGAAATTTAAAATCTGCCAGCCCTAAGATTGCCATTAACAGCAAGGTAGATAAGACAAAAAAAAGTTAAAATTTGAAGGAAACTTTATGCAGTACCTGGTTAATTTCATTATTATTATTATTATTATTATTGAATATGTGATAAAACCCTTCAAGAAGAGAAATCCCCTCTGACCCAAAGTAAGCTTGTAAATGAGTCTTGAAAAAGCCATGAAACCTTTGCTTTTTAGGTGATTCTTCAAAATACAGAGGGTATCCCCAAAGCCAAACTTTTGTCCTATACTATATATATATATATATATATATATATATATTTTTATATATAAAAAGATTACTTTTAAATATCAATTTCATCCCAACATCGATGTTTCTTGGTAAAATTTCCAGTCTTCAGGGGTTATGGTTTTAAATGGCATTTCCAATTTTTTCAATTTGAAAAATTGAAAAAATTGGAAACACCATTTAAAGTACAGGTTGCCCCACAATAAAACAGAAAATTTGGTACAGTTTATTTAATTGTTGGAATTTTTGTTACAGTTATTTGAAACAAAAGCAAAGGATAGAAATTTAGTAGCTTAAAACAGGACAAAAATACAAATGTTAGATGTGGTGTTCAAACTAACAAAAAAATCTGGCAAAATTTCTTGGTATTTTTTCAGTCTCCAAGTTGGATGTTCTTTCTTAAAGAGAACAATCACCTTGCATTGAAAATTTGATAACTGCAGCATCCTGCTTAAAAATGTTTAAAAAATTTATGTTAGTTAATTTTTTAGTTTATTCATATGGTAAAATATATAGTTGATTTCTTTTTTTATATGTTAGTTAATTTTTTTTTTATCCTATAGTAAATCTAAAAGTTCCAGTTTTTTTGTGGGTCACCCTGTATTTGAAAAGGTTTTATTATTCCAGTAGATACATGAATAGGAATAAGAATATTCTCTCTAATATTTTGTTACCTGAATAATGCATTCTTTATTATCAATGTATTCATTACTAGATTAATTCGATGATGTATGGCAATCATTAGTATCAATTATCTCATCTAATCTGATTATCTGTGACTGGGATGATTAATACTTAATAGCCGCTGAGTTACATATCAGAAGAAAAACCCCTGTGATTAAACAAAAGAAAAAAAAAAAAGATTTCCAAGACAAGTCTTTCTCTTGTATGATCAGAGTCATATGATATTCAGAGGATATAAATTTCAGATTATTAATAGCCTAATTATTAAGCCCTGTTGAACACCACAAAATCCTTTCTTTTCATTCAACTCATATCTGTGTAGCTGTTGAGGTTTAAAAAAATAAAAAGCAAAAAGAAACCTATATAATTCAGGTGTGAAATGATTAATATAAACTTTATATATCAGACACCTTAAGGCAGTGGTTCCTAAACTTTTTTTTCTCTGGGCAGTATTTTTGGACTGCAAAATCTCTTCACTAAATTTTATGTGAAAAAAAGTACATTTAAAAATAATAAAAACAGAGAGAGCATTAAAGGGAGATAACTGTGGATTTGAAGTTAGAACAATATCATTGATAACTCTCTCCTCCAATTTGCAGACCCTAGTTACTGTATCCTTAATACTTGATATAATGCTAAAATATCAAGAATAAAATCACTCAATAATTATTTATAACTATTTATACAAGTAATCCATAATAATATTTTAAATTTTGAAATCATGCTTATTTTTGGCATATGGATTTTTTGAAACTGTAAATCTTTGATTGTTTTTGAATCATTTTGCCTCACCTGCTATCCTCTTCTACACCATTTGGGAACCCCTGCCTTAATGTGTAACTCCTAAAAACTTACTTGTAAATATCAAATATTTCATAAACTAGCAAGAAAATAATCTCTATAATGAGAAAATTAGAAA